GAGAGAATGTCCATTTTTATCTATTATGCTGGGTTTTTTTTTTTGTCTTAGAGTTATTTTATCAGAGTTTAATATTGCTATTCCTACTCATAATTTTTTTTGCAGTTAGTTTGGCATATTTTTTTTTCCATCCTTTAACTTTTAGTCTGTTTTTGTCTTTGTGTGTAAGGTGTGTCTCATGATGACAGCATATTGAAGGATCTTGTTTTCTTATCCATTCTGCCACTCTCTGTCTCTTAACTGGTGCATTTAATCCATTTAAATTCAGTGTAATTATCGATAGGTATGAATTAATTGCTGTCATTGTGTTTGTTTTTTTGTGTGTGTTGCTGCCGATTTCTTTGTTCTGCATACCTTCCTGTGCTGAGTTCATGTTTTCTGAGTTCTGTCTTGTCAGTTTCTACATATTTTTAATGTTTCTGTGTTCTTCTTGGATTTTCATTTTTTGGTATGTTGTGAAGTATTAATTTTCTTTGAGGTTACCCTATATTCTACTAATGTTTTCCTCCATTTAAAACAGTCTGTTTTATCCTGTAATCTACCTGACCTCCTCACCACCTAGATCTCTGTTCCTATGTTTTTACCTTCTTTCACATTGTAATTGTTTTGATCATAGACTGACCTCTCAGATTCTCTGAATTTATTCTTGTAGTTTTATTCTGTTCTGGATTCTTCCATCCATTTATTGAGTTCCAGGTGGTGCTGCCATGTATGTCAATCTCTGGTTGTTATCTGTTCTTGTTGCTTGTCAGTCCAAAGAACTCCCTTTAGGATGTTTTGAAGTGCTAGGTTGGGTTTGACAAAATCCATTAGCTTCTGTTTATCATGAAATGTTTTGATTACACCTGCATATTTGACTGACAGCTTTGCTGGGTAGATGATTCTTGGTTGATAGTTTGTTTTTCTCTCTCTCAGGATTTTATATATGTTCCCCATTGCCATCTTGCCTACATGATTTCTGCTTAGAGATCTGAGCTTAATGTAGTTTGCTTGCCTTTGTAAGTAACACTTCTCTTTTGCCTAGCTGCTTTCAGGACTCTCTCCTTGTCTTCTATTTTGGAGAACTTGATTGTAATGTCTTGGTGATTTTCTTTTGGGATCTATCCTTCCTAGGGTTCATTGACCTTCTTGAATATACTTATCTTTTCATTTTTCAGGATGTTAGGGAAATTTTCTTCCAGCAGCTCTTTAAGTATCTCCTCTGTGGACTTATGTGATACTTCCTCTTCCAGAATGCCAATAATTCTTAAGTTATTCCTCTTCATGTC